CTCTCATTCTCTCGCCTGCCTCCCCTTTCTTCCTTCCTTCCTTCCTTCCTTCCTTCCTTCCTTCCCTCCCTCTCTCATTCTCACTTTAGTCCCTCTCTGCCCCATACTCCCTCCCTTCTGCACTGTCCCCTTTCCTATCTCTTTCCTCCCCTCTTTCTTACCTTGTATTTCTCTCCCCTGCCTTTTTCTCCTCCTTGTCTTCTCTCCCTCCCTTCCTCCCCCTCTCTCCCTACCCTCTCCCCTACTCTTTCTCCCTCCCTTATCATAGGTACTATTATTAGAACCAAAGGGCAGCACCTTGGCTCAGACTTGGGGACTGCTGGGAGCAAGACAAGGCCACCATGTGCTTTTGTTCATTCTAGGCCTGCCATAAGTATATCTTGTACACCTTGGTGAACTTCCTCAGCTCAGAGATAGGCATAGTTGCTCTCTGCAGCAAAAAGTGCAAAGGGGAAGGTTACAGTGCTGATGACTTGTTTTGTTTGTACAGGAACCAATGCTCTTCCCAAAAGAATGTGTCTACATCCATGATCCACAAGGCCTGAATGTCCTGAAGAAGGGTTGCGCCAGGTACTGCAATCAAACCATCACGGTGAGTGTGATGGAAAAACACATTCCCTTTGAAAGGAACTCAGCTCTTCTCTTCCTCATTCATCAAGAAGAGCTGACGCCTTGAGCTGAGAGGGTTGGATGGGGCCTAAAGGAAAGCTGTTCCATGCAAAAGGCAGTCCCCAGGACCATCACATGAAACAACTATCTGCTTTTTATTTGACAGAGAGAAAACAGGGTACCAAACTACTGCACATGGTAGAAAGCAGCTCAGTTAAACCTGAGTGCAATAAATAAATAAGATAAAGCACCCCAGCTGTGACCAGCCAAGCTCAGGAAGCCATGAGATAAATGGTGCAGTGCTAGCTGGTGTATCCCAGTTTTAGTATTTTTCCCAGAGGAAGCTAAGCACAGAGAAAGTGCTGTAAGCTGTGAAGTGATTGCATCCTGTTTATGAACCATTGTCAGATGATTCAGGAAAGTTACTCTTCGCAAATTTATGGACTTCATGTTTGTCTGCAGCTCCTGAGCTCTCACAGTGCCAACTATATGGAATGATTTGTGGGTGCTTTGTTAAATACTGCTGATTGTTTTTCTCGTGGTTGTTCTTCCATTGGTCAGTCATGACACGGCTTGCGACCCTGGACTGCTACATCCCTCCAAAGGAGCACAGTCCTGGGCAAGGATAAAGCCAGAGTGAGTGGGCCAGTGCTATTAAAGAATTAAAAGTTCATAGAAAGCATAGACCCTATTAGTTGAAGTCAGAGAGTGTGCAAAAAATAGTGATTTATTCTGAGAAGAGCAGGCAGAAAGAGGGATATTGTTGAAAAATAATAGAGATGCAGAAGCTCCTAGAACCACAGATGGCAAATGAGACAGTCCATTGCACTCCACGGCAGAGATGAGGACCAAGATTTCAGAATTATGAGGGCAGGATGACTCCAGGCAATTCTTGTTGTCACATCATACCTTACCAACTTTGCTTTTGTTTCAGAAACCTGGATGCTGCAAAGGGTTCTTTGGTCCAGACTGTATGCCATGCCCAGGGGGATTTTCCAGTCCATGCTATGGCCGGGGAAATGTAAGTGTGAAGGATCCTGCTGCATTGCAATGAGCAGCTGAGGCAGTGTGGTTACAGAGTGTAGTTGTAGATAAGTACAATTCAGAGTTTGTGCTCCAGGGCTAAGCCTGCAGTGTTGGTAGCAGAAGATCCAGGGAGAATGGCACATACTCGGTGGGATTTCCTTCTTGAGCTCTAATGTGAATCATGTCATGGCTGTTACGGACAGCTCTGGCTATGTGGGATTTTGTGTTGTTCTTCAAATTCCACTTTGTTACTGCAGGGATCAAAGTGCCTTTGATGGATATCAATACCTTGTCTTTTCCTTTGCTCCCTGAGTTTCAATGACTTTGGTTTTCTTTTTGTTTTCCTTCCAGTGCAGTGATGGCATACAAGGGAATGGCAACTGTCACTGCTTTGAGGGTTTCAAAGGAATAGCCTGCCACATCTGCTCAAACCCAAACAAGCACGGCGAGAACTGTGACGAAGGTTGGTAATTCTGACTGAGAATTTCCTCTAGACTAGAGGAAAATGTAGGGCAAGGATATAGTTCATGTGTCCTGGACTCCCTTCTGGCAAGACCAGTGTCATGAGAGAAGTGACAAAAATGTCATCATGGGTGTTCCTTCAAACAGCAGAGGAGAAAATATGCTTGATATGATAGTGGTGATGGGTGTTTTAGAAACATCAACCTCATGCAGGTATGGGACTTTGATTTAGGTGTCTTCTGCTAGGAAAAAAAATACAATTGACAAAGATGTTGCACTTGATAGCCTAAATTTCAGCCTGTCCTTATAGCCTATAAAAAACATGTGCCCAGGATCCATTCTCTGGCCAGGTTTTCAGTTATGATGGATGTCTCTCAGCAGATGTCCCTCTGTCAGAAACAAATGGATGATAATTTTGTGTCACAACAGGTTGTGAAGGAAAGTTGGAAATCTACAAAATGTCATCACTATGGTGGATTCTGGACTTTTTGTACTTACTGATCTTACTCCGTGTACTTGGCAGATTGTGGTTGTGTCCATGGTGTCTGTGACAACAGGCCTGGAAGTGGTGGTGTGTGTCAGTCCTGGTCCTGTAAGGAAGGCTATACTGGGAAATTCTGTGACAAGACGTCCAAGAACTGTGGCCCGAGTGGTCTGTCCCAGTACTGCCACCAGAACGCTGTCTGCAGCCTCAACGACACAGCAAGGTCAGTCTTTTTGGCATGCACACTGAGGGGGCACATTGTCCTTGCACAGGCACACAGCAGCTGTGAGGCTGCCAGCCCTGCACTTGTGTACATATGTCTCTGTGCTTGTTGCACAGCATCGTTTGAGTAACTCAGTCAACAGAGTAGAAGTCAAAGTCAGGTTCTTGCTTGCCTGAGAAGACCAACCTGCCTTTTTGCTCTCCGCTGGCTTTCAGAGGGACTGCTCTACCTGTGTCCCCTTTGTGCTTATACCTTTAAGGTGCATCTGCATGGATGGATACGAAGGTGATGGTTTTTCCTGCCAGCCCATAGACCTGTGCAGTCAGCCAGAGCGGGGAGGCTGTTCACAGAATGTAAGTGGGGTCAGACTGAATCATGGAGAAGCAGCTCCTATCTATCAGAGCAGGGATCCAGGGCTCCTGGGACTGTTACAGATTTCCCATGCTAACTTTCCCCATCTGTAAGATGGGCTGGAATTACAAATGCCTTGACACAGTCATTGTAAGGATGTCAGTCATTTGAGTTGGTGCCAAAATGTGATACTTCAAGGAGAATTTGGCTGGTTTGCACCAAATTATTTTGGCAGCTACAGAGATTAGCTGTACAAGTAATTTTTGGTTTGCATCAGTATTCCCCTCAAGCTCTTCTAACTCATGTTCGTTTCTCTGTTGTTGTGTTCAGGCTGTAGCTTAACTGTGAGCTCCAACTTCTGTTTCCAGTAATGATAAACACTAAGTTATTATCTTTAGTAAAAAACTGTGCTGCTTTATGATGGAAATGACTGCCAAATTGTCAGACCCCTCAGTGAGAGAAAGACAGTGGGCCACGTGGAAGGAAATAGGATGTCATTGGGTACAAAGTAGGTCTTGCCTCAGAGACATCTGCCCTCCATCATTGATTCCATCCCACATGTCCAAGCAGGAGACTGTGGTCCTCCTCTTCAGGGATTATTTATTCTGCAATGGAAGAGCTTTAGAGGATGACAAGGAATGCCCTGAGAGTCCTCAACCACCCCAGACAGAAGTATCTGCCTCCCTTAAAAAAACAAATGTTTCCAGAATCACTTTATTATGAAGTTTTCTATGACTTTTCTGGATGCTTCCACCCCCAGTGCAGGAATCAGGGTTAGTCATTCAGAAGTTCTCCACAGTCTGATGAAGAAGATTTGATGCTGTGTTTTCACTGCACTCTCACCCTTCTTTTGAGTGTAATTCTTTTCCTCTCTCCTCTTCTGAAGGCCCTGTGCACCAGTACAGGCCCTGGCACTGCCACCTGCCAGTGCAATGTGGGCTGGACAGGGGATGGGAAAGTATGTGTGGCTATAGACAACTGCGTGCTGGAGAGCAGAGGGAACTGCCACCTCAATGCTGACTGTGTTTACATCGGCCCAGGCCAGGTATGAGCAATGCTAACAGTGGATTTCACATTTCCTCAGCTGCTTTGAGTGGCCTGGGACTACCAGAGGTAAAAACTGGGCTGGTCAGCAGCAAAGCCTATTTGTCTGCTGTCAGAACCACCAGCTGAAGCTGCAACTACACAGTGTGCTTGCATGTGAAGTGCACTGACAAGTTTAGGGCTGCTGTTCAACACTGAAACTTCTGTGCAGCAAAGAGACTAAACTTCATAATATAGCTTGGGACAAGTCAGCAGTTGCTGTGCCCCCTGTTCCCAGACTGCAGCACTGAAAACCATATGCAGCTGCCCAGATAGTCCACGGAGGGACTACCTGGGCCAAAAGTGAGGCTTCTTGAGATAAGAGGAAGGCAAGCAGGAGAGGTGACTTCCCAGGGTGCAGCTTCTCAAGGTGCTTCTCCCCACAGAGCCAGGGGAGCGTTGAACAATGTACTGAAGAAGGTGCTAAATCTCTAGCAGATTTTAGTGAGCTGAGATGTGCAAGTGCTTTCTGAGCTATCTTGAAAGCAGGAAGCTTTAAAATTAACTCCTCTCCTCTTTCTGCCATTCACAAAGTCTGTGTCATTCCCAGAAAAACTGGAAATAAAGGTGGAAACCATCATCATCATGTGACCCCACAGCCAAGCAGTGCAAGGAATCAATGTGCTTGAGTAACCAGGCAGCATGTGTGCTGTGATAGAGGATGGTGCTCTACTAAAGAAATATCTCCACATTTCTAGGTCTTGAGGGACCAGGAAAAACCTTGGGAAAATAAACTAAGAATAAGTTCTGCTGCCTTAGACCTTTTTTTTTGCATAGCAAATGAGGATGCTCTGGTAGGTCTATAAAAGTGAACTGTCAATGTGCTTGAGTAACCAGGCAGCATGTGTGCTGTGATAGAGGATGGTGCTCTACTAAAGAAATATCTCCACATTTCTAGGTCTTGAGGGACCAGGAAAAACCTTGGGAAAATAAACTAAGAATAAGTTCTGCTGCCTTAGACCTTTTTTTTTGCATAGCAAATGAGGATGCTCTGGTAGGTCTATAAAAGTGAACTGTCTCTTTCTTGCAACTGTGTCTGTTTTTTATGCTGGCGATGGCCACAGCTGTGATGCAATCAACCCATGCCTCATGGACAATGGTGGCTGCCATGACTTGGTGAGTAGCTGAAGAGCTGTCCCAAGGCTGACACAGCAGTGGAGATTCATCTCCTCCCTGACAGAGGTTTTTCAGCCATGGCACTAAGAGAATTGCAAGGCTTTTATGTTAGATCATCCTACTGGCATGCCACTGAGGTGTTATAAAGGTGGATCCTCTGATTTTTGTGAATTCACACAACCAAAACTATCACCTAAGCTTAACTGCATGAGGTGCCACCATAAAGATAACAGAAGAATGGTGCTTGTGTGTACTCCTTTAGCCCAGACTGTGGAAGGCCAGAATTCAGTTCTGAGATAGGTGTAATACTGCATAACCTGTGTTTGCTCTTTAATTTCTCCTTTCCTTGTATTTGCAGGCTACGTGTGTACCCCTTGGAGGAGGAGAGAGATCCTGTGTTTGCTCTGAAGGCTACACTGGGGATGGCATGACATGCTACGGGGACATTCTAAAAGTTAGTGAAAAGCAAATGTCTGAGGTCTTTTTGAGATGTGAGAGAACTGGCTCTCTTCTCACTTTACTTCTCTCTGTGACCTGAGTTGACTCCTTCTCCCAGCACCAGCCTGACAGCACAAGTGTATTCCAAGGCCAATTATTGCCAGTGAAACCATTAGCAATAATTTTTAAGGTGCTTCACCCCTGTGCAGAGTGGACCTGTCCTGTGCAATAAATCATCTTTTCTTTGTTGTTTGGAAAGTTTTTCAGGTCAGAGCTGCCAGGCTCACTTTCTGTCATTAGAAATATCAAAGGCCACTGTGGATTCAATCCCTGTCCCTGGTACACATGAGCAATTGCAGATGAGTTGAAGAGAGTTCATTCCTTTGGAAATATATTTTTTTAATGGTTAAATTTGATTTTAGGAGGGCCTATCTCTCCTCACAATACACAGTGCCTGTAATGGTTGCAAAGAGGAATTTCTAAGCCATTATTGACAGATTCGATATTGCAAAGGGCTCCTTTCTCCCACCTTGAGTCTCCCAGCCCTGCACCCTGTGCCCATCAGGAGTAACTCTTCTTTGTTTCTATTTGGAAGGAGCTGGCCAGAAATTCCCACTTTGCAGACTTCTATGACTGGGTTAAGGTAAGAACAGCCATGGGATGCCCACACAGGTAAGTTCTGTAGAAGTGAAGTCTGAACGCTGCTGTTAGAGGATGAGCAACTCCATTTATCTTTTCATTAGAGAAAAACAAAGCAACAGTGAAGGAGAACTTGCTACAGAACAGGCAGGTGGAAAAGTTATACCTCACTCTTGTAGAGTGAGGGTCATGAGTGGGTTTCGGAGGCCTTGTTCCTAGCACTGGAGGAAACTGGGGCTGTGTTACACTTAATTTTCATGGTTGTACCACCTGTAACTCCTGCCTGTCACAAAACAGCATGAAAGGGAAAGAAGGAGGAACATTATAATACCCTTTTTCAGAAGAACATCCTTTGAGACATTAGACTGTAGGTTTGTTCCTTTTCTCATTACTGCTTCCCTGTCTCTGGCATGGGAATAACAGAAATGCTCCACATACTGCAGCAAGTCTGTGGAAACACACCATGATGGACAGCCTCTAATTGTGCTTTAGCTCACCTGTCCTGCTGCATACATTGGTTTTGCCAGGAATAATCTTGGGCCCTCCCCCAAGACTGATGTTGAGGGTTCAGAAAAGATTTATGGATATGATTGAATGGGTTTGAAGGGTAACTGAAGTATAAAAGCAGGGCTTTAAGCAGCAGGCTTTCCCTTGGTAATCAGGTGTCAGCTGTTTTGGCTAAACCACCTGTGGCATTGATTGATTGCCATGCCCAGGAGAGCCTGCTGTGCTTCTGAGCACATGCTGTCTCCCTACACATCCCTTTCATGAGACTGCAAGAGCAGGATAGCTGTTGGTTGTATTTTGCAGTATAGATGTGGCAGTGGCATGTCTTATTTGTTCATTTTTGTGCTTTGGACAACAGAAATCTCTGTTCAGCATCCCAGCAGGAACCAATGTCACTGTCCTGGTGCCATCAGAGGCAGCTGTCAAGAACTTGAACAACACTGAGAAAGATTTCTGGTTGACCCCTTACATGCTGCCATTTTTAGTCAGGTATGAGGAGCTTTCTGCCTTTGCTTTATTGGGCCACACAATAGGAACAGACCCACTGACTGGATTTCTTCTTGTGCATGACCAATAAGGAGTTATCTTGAGATAAATATAGAAGGGAGTTTAAATATCTATCAGGCAAAGAATTTAGTAGGCGTTTAAAACATAACAGACCACAGGCCATGGGAAGTGGTTTATTTTCATGTATCTGCTGAGAAATATTTTCCGAACAAGTAATTCGCTCCATTGTTCTCTCTACATGCTTAACTACTTCACAGGAGAGATGTGAACATTGGATGGTATGGTCTTATCTCCCTGTCATTACCAACAGGGCCCTAATACTTTCTTTACCTGCCTTTGTTCCCTTCAGGGCCCACTTTCTTGAAGGTGTCTTCACTGCTGAAAAGCTCAAAAAGTACGACAGGCCAGAATTACCCACTCTCAACCCACAGACCAGATGGCAGATAAACACCACGAATGGCGTAAGGGTTTCTTACATAAGGCACATGTACCAGTCTCAAATTTAACTGCTCTAGAGCTGCTAGGTCCCATGGGGAGCCTGGATGGGACACTGGTGCCCTCAAATGCAGGCATCTTTCAAAAACCATACCCAGATGAACCATGTGCAACCTTGAGCAAGCTGTATATCCTTGAGCAAGCTGTATATTTGCTTTGAACTTGCTTGGCAATTTCTAATGCTTTTCCTTCTCCCTCTGGTATTTTTGCAGGTATTTAGCATCCAAAATGCAAGTATAGTCGTCAGTGACATTCCTGCCACCAATGGCATCATCCATGTCCTCAGTAAGGTATGTCAGTACGTGTGACACTGGGAAACGCTGCAGTTGTAGCTGCAGGTTTGTATTGCAGCCTCTGTGATTGGACCAAGGAGGAATACATGGTTGGATGGTAAGGAAGAGATATAAAGGCAAAACATATATCAGGTTATCCCAAGGTCCTGACAGATGTATCCTGTGCAGCAGTGTTTAATGTTTAAAACATTTGTCTCTAGGACAAGTGGGAGGGCAGTTCCCCTTCTCTTGACTGACAGAATAGTTCAGACTATTGCAGAATTGTGTAAAATGAAGCCTCTTTTAATTGCCTTTCTAGCAAGCAGGGCAGTAGTCTAGGGTGATTCCCTGCAGAGCCTCTTGCCCAGCCCTGCTTATGAACTTGCTTTTCTCCAGGTTTTGTTGCCACCTTCAGAAGATATCCCACCAAGTCCTCCTGGTCTGCAGGAACAGCTTGAGACCGTTGCCTCATTCAGCATATTCAAGGAGTTACTAGAGGTAAGCAGTTGAGGTGAGCACTGTTGTTGCTGTCAGAACTGTCTTTTGAGCAAATGCCCAATTTGCCCTGTACTAGTGGACAAAAATCTGGACTGTCTCATGAGAAAAGGGAGACCACGTGTTTCCTACCATTCATGAGGGATCTTCTAAGAAAGCTCTTTTGAGCAGCCAAAGAGTTATATAATTGCAGTCAGATCTTTGGCATGCATTACAGTGGAAGACAACCTGTCTGCTGTAGGTGCTCTCATGCTTGTACAAGGCAGAGAAACCCAGAGGGAAGGGAAGGCTTGTTCACAGCCAAAAAGCTGCACTTATGTCAGCCAGGAGGAGGAGCAAGCAGCTAGATATGTGTGACTGAGTAGAAGTTGTATCTCCCACTTTCAAGCGTTTCCTGTTGCCTGTGTAATTGATTTAATGTGTGGTTTGGTTTTACTCAGTACAAGAGTAATTGATAATGTTAGTGTCTGGACATTTTTAGGAATACCAGCTCATTGGGAAGATTGAGTCTTCTGAAAAATACACAGTTTTTGTTCCTGGAAACAATTCTGTTGAGGAGTACTGCCGTGCTGCCAATGTGACTCAGCTGGTAAGCTCACTACTTGCTTGCAGTTTGAATATGTATTGTGATTAGTGCAGGGACATGTACACTGTCAGATCATAAATGAGTTCAGTGGCTTTCAGCATGGAGAGGAGACACTTATCTGATGCTAAAAGCTCAGAGAGATGAGGGGGTTTCCTGGAGTGTTGCAATGGGATTTGAAAAGAGTATCTGAACTCCAAATGCAGAGTAAATTAATGTGTGGATAGATGGCACAACATGTTACCCTTCCTGGCTGGCTGTGGCAATTATCAGACTTCTGAAAGGTTCTAAAAAACATTTATGGCTTCATCAAGTAACAGGACCATCAAGTTTGATCAGTCATCTGTGACAGAGTTACTAGGCTCTGTGAGCTTAGTTAGGTGTTAGAGATGCTTAGGAACATCTCTTGTGCCATACCTCTGACTGAACTGTAGTCTAGGAAATCAAGAGAGTCCTAACATTTGTATTTTTGTGCATTTAGGACAATGAGACAGTGCAGTACCACATTGTACTGGGAGAGAAGCTCTTGCCCACAGACTTGAGAAGTGGAATTCATAAGAACAGCATGCTAGGGCTCTCCTACTGGCTAATGTTTTACCAAAACGGCACCCAGGTATGTTCTGCCATCTGAAGATCTGACTTGGCCTGTCACTTTCTAAGGCTGGTGCCTGGATACACCTGTTCCTGTTTTGCACACCCTTACAAGTTTGCTTCTGTGATTGTCTGACAGCTGCTAAGCAATCCATGCAAAAGGAGTTGAAGGTAATCATCTCAGCCATTTTCTTCTCTTCTGCAGAAGTTTGTCAATAATATTCCTTTGGATGGGAAATTCCTGGAGACGAAGAATGGCATGCTGGTCGGGGTGTCACAGGTGCTGCAGATACACAAGAATCGATGCACTGCCAATACCACCACCATACAAAAGGTAATGATGAAAACCAAGGAGCTGACCACCATTTCACAGGGCTTCTCTCACTGCTGGACCAAATTGATGGATAAAAGACAACCTGCCTAGTCTCTCCACATGGATGAGACAGTAGGTTGTGGTCTGACCCCAGATAAGCCTCATGTGAAACAGGACATTGTGGAGATTTGTCACCTCCTAGCCTCAGATTCTGTACATCTCATGTAGCAGGTCTGCAGCTCCTGTGCAGATCATGTTCAGTTCACTTGCTGGGGTTCTCTCACAGTGGCAGCCATGGGGCAGGCTGGTTCAGGAACTCCCAGATACTCAGCCTTGGAAGGAGAATCCAGTCCAAATCTTGCATGCCATGGCTACAAGCTCCCTTAGAAAATGCTGCCTGGACTGCCTGGGAATCATGGCCAAAGTCCAGCTTGCATGTACCTTGTGGCTCTTGGCAATCTGAAGTTTGCAGGGTCACACTGAGAAATGCCTGCCTGTTACAAATCAGAAAAAATGTTATTTGCAGCCCTGTGTGAAGGAACTCCAGGCCTACAGAAAGCCCTACTCAGCTCAGAGACTCAGGAAAGGTGTAGCACGTGAACTCTTCTTTTGGTGTTTTGAGCCACGGAGATCAATACACGTTTGTCCCAGCCAGCAGCATGTACAGCATGTGCATTGCCATTTGTAATTCAAGAGTAGTGTCTTGGTGTGATGGAGGTAGAGGGCACACACATGACTTGTCCTGTTCTCTGTGCCCTAGTCAAGATGCGGCAAGTGTGAGAAGGGGATCAAGTGTCCGTCTGGATCAGTTCTTGTGGTGAGTCTTTGATTTCTGTGACAGCTCAGACTGTTTGCCGATAGTGCTTTGATGTCCTTTTATTGCTCTATAGATGTCATCTTGACACCTGAAAAAATGTGCCCTTGAGTCCTCTGTGGCTTTTCCATTACCAAGGTTTGTAAGAGAAAGCAGCAACCAAGGGAGGATTACACAGGAAAGACGTGGATATGAATCACAAGGCTTTGTACAGAGCTAGCACCAGGCTTTGCCTGAATTTCAGGAGCCCTTCAGAGCATGCTGTGTGGGGAGATTCCCCACTTAGCAGGGTAGAAGAGATGTCTTTTTTTTTTCCCCATCTTTCACTCTTTTGACACTATCATCAAGTAAAGCCAGTTTAGGGATGTCAGTAGCAATTTCCCTGCTTGGACCATTGGTTTGTGTGAACAAACATATGGGTTGGTTGTGCCTGTAGCTTGTTTGTAAGTGAGTGGCAAACATTTTCAAGAGGAAAACAGCTAAACTTTTCAGCTCCATGATGGCTGTGAATTGCCTAGCAGCCACATCTGGCTTCTTAGGCTTTTTTGCTCTACTCCATGCCCAAAATTTTCCAATTCTGTTTTCTCAGTATTCAGACTGACATGTACACCACGGATTTGGCAGCTAACAAAATAGATTCTGTGGTCACCTCACACCTAGAGATGCCTGATTAGTCTCAGGTCTGGACAGTCCACACGTTTAGTGCTGTTCCTGTAGGATACAAAGCAAGAACATTGACATAAGCACCAAAACGTAAAATGTTTGTCTAAATATTGTAATGTCTTCTATCTGTGTCTATGTTAATTATGTGTGCAGGAATTGCCAGGCAGCAAGAACCTCCCTCGCTGCCAATTGCGCTCTGGGGATGCACTTGGCTGCCATTTCACCTGTGCCAAAGTTTCTCTGGTAAGAAAAACATTTGCCTCAGATTCAGTTTGACAAAAGCAAGATAGGTATCAGAAATAGAGCCATGGAAGTACAGGCTGTGCTGCAGCCCTGACTGCATTTGTGCCGTTGTGTAGCTGAGACTGGGCTTGTCTGGGAGTTGCTCTCTATCCTGGAGATGGAGGGCACTGAAGAAAAAACAGACCTGTAGAAATGTCTGTACAGTGATAGATTGTGGTCTGCTGCTTCAGTATTGTTGCTCTGGGTTTTGTCCTTCAGAGGAAGAGAAGGAGTTGACTGTAGTCTGGTTTCTTAAGGAAATGAGGTATGAATAATGGCATTTAGCTTTGTGCATGTGCCTTCCCGAATAACTGATGACTAATTGGAGCTGAACCAAAGGAAGGAGCAAAAGGTCTCACACCTTGTGTTATGTGTATTACAACCCCCACCAATTTTGTGGAAATGTGTGGCTGGGAGAAAACACTTGAAGAGAAAATGGTAAAAGAAAGAGTTTTGTGAATTTGAGCTCTTATAAGTATTACAGCATCTCCCTGGAAAGTTTAGTGGGAATGGAGATGGAGGAGAAGGGAGAGAGGGAGTTGGACATACAGTACACACATGGAGAGCTTCAGTCAACACTTGTACCTCAGTGGGTACTTCTGTATCCTTTCATTAGATGATGTTTCTTTTCATCTGTACTGTCCAATTTGGTCCCTCCATGGGGGGATGGTTTCCTCCCTCTGTAGGTAGGTGCAGACAGAAGTGAGAGCAGCTAAATCAGGCTTCTGCACCAGATCACCTTCTGGCACAGCCTCTCTGCCCAACAGAGAGACACACTAGGGACACAGGCAGGAGATAGGCTGGAGGTGCACAGAACTGAACAATTTAGCTAATCACCAAAGAGGCAGTGTTGCTCAAGAGCATTGTAGACCTTTACATGAAGCAACAGAGCACTCCGTTTAGGGTGTTCACTCCATTCTGCCTTCACACACCTGGCCCTCTCATGTGTGTCAGAAATTCTGGCTGTCACATAGTTAAAGGACTAGAGTAGCTCCCACAATAAAACTATACCTTGTCTGTGCTGCACAGGGTGGTTCACCCCAGCTTGTTCTTGTTGGTTTTCCAGAGGTCTGTCTGCTGCCCCGGCTACTATGGACACATGTGTGAGATGTGCCCAGGGAAGCCAGGCCAGTGGTGCTCTGGGAACGGGGAATGCCAGGATGGCATTGAGGGCAGTGGAGAGTGCCGATGCCAGGAGGGCTTCCATGGAACTGCCTGTGAAATGTGTGAAGTGGGACGATACGGGACTGACTGCAAATCAGGTGACACCAATGGCTGCTGCAACTTGTCTGTAATGTCCTGCTTGCAACAGGAGAAAAGTGGCCATGCCTCAGCTCTCGGGAGGGTTGATGGGGGGCAAGAGATGTCCCAAGACCTCTGAAACAGGCAAATGGCTGTCAGGCAACCAAGAGAGGGACAGTGGGAGTCAGCACTTGTGGTCACCCACAGGAGTGATCCCATTTTTCATCCACAAACCAAAGCATGTACTGTGCTATGCTGCTCATCCTGCTGGTACCCAAACTACAGAAAGTAGAGACAGGTCATCTGTTCCTGGGCTCTCTGGCCTGGCAGTGAGGGAACAAGAACTAATAGTCCTGTGGCACTTTCTTTATGGCAGTTTGATGTGTTGGATTAGGAACAGAGCAGCCAGTGAAATGGCAGCAAGACTGTGTTTGTGAGACCTGGTTGATTTGACAGTGACAAGTGTTTATATTTCCCCTGCAGAATGTGCCTGTGACAATGGCATATGTAACGATGGACTGCAAGGGGACGGGAGCTGCGAGTGCTTCCCAGGGTGGAAGGGCCCTACCTGCCATGAAAGTACGTGAGTGTGAAGGGGCCCGTGGTGTAATATTGCCTTTTTGGCAGAAAAATCTATGTGATCCTCTTTAGCTGCCAGAGCAATTCTGTTAGCTGAGCAAGGTAACCACAGTCACATGTACTTTGCAGCCCCCCAAAAAGCTTTTCAGACTGTGCTTGCTCATTCCTGCATACAAAGCTGTACTTGCAGTGTGACTTTCCCAATGGCACATAAGCCCTCAAGTTATTTGGGTGAATTTCATATTGAGAAAAGCATGTCCCTTGCTTCCATGTCCACTGAGATTTGAGGCATATCAAGACCAGCAGCCCCTTGCCCTGGGGGAGAGAGAGGTGGAAGCTCCCAGACAGATTGGGCTCACCATGACTCTTGTTATTTGCCTAAGAAGGTGTCAGGGCCTGTTTTGAACCCCCAAAGGGCCTCAGTGTGTCTGCTCAATTACTTTTTCTGCTCACAGATCCATTCATCCAGGTGAGCTCAGGCCATGGTCTATAGTTTTCAATGTCTGTCATTGTGTATCAAAGTAACAAGTTGAAGATGAATTTGGGATTATGATTACCATTTGGGTAGGGAGGAACCTAAGCTTATGCTTCATGATTTTAAAGGTTTGCACACAGAGGTTGATTTTATAGTGAAGTCAAATGCTTCAGGATCATTTAGAAATAGAAATCAAGTGGAGCTGTCCTCTCTAGTGCAAATGTAAAGCCTGAAAACAGTTCATCTTTTGCTTCGAAGGGGCCAAAGCCAAATGGCTCTGTATGTCTGGGTTAATGAGGTTTTGGTCCTTGTTTCTTTCCTAGCAGTGTGGAGGCCACACAGATAGAATGAAATTGAACCATTAGCTCAGACAGGGAACATTGAATTCGCTCCATTGCAAAGTGTGTCAAAACATAAATCCCATGAGGTTTTCCTGCTGCCACATTGGACAGGAGAGCTAGCATGACTCCTGGTTTGCAGGGCCCTTTTCTCCAGAAATGGCCCCAACAAGACCTAAGTTAAAAATGCCAAGTCCCATTTGTATTTTCTCTCACAGGAATCAAGATCGACTTATGCAATAACACTTGCCATCAAATGGCCAAGTAAGTGCAGACAAGGGCCTGGGTCCTCCATGTGTGTTGGTATGTGTTTTACGCAGAGATGCTTAGGGCAGAAGGTGCCTACTCTTTAAAGATGCATAAATGTCAGTTCGATTCTGGGAACTGTCTTGGGTGCTTAGCTGCATCCGATTCCCCCCAGGATTTTGTCTGTCTAAATTCATTCCAAGTTCATTCTGCATGTGTGGATGGGAGAAAGCAGAGACTCCAAGGTGCTCCAAGTCTGGCCATATGCATGGAGCAAATGAACCAGCCTTTTACAAGCCCTTCCTGCCCCTGCCAAGGAATGAAATAGGGCTGTAATGACTCCCCCTTGCTGCCTTCCCCATCTACCATCTGGTCTCCTGTTTCGTGGTACCATGACCCAGCCATCCTCATCATACAGTGCAGTGAAAGTGCACGGTGTGAGGCCTGGGCCTGGATGCCAGGTCCTGGCCAGTGTGACTTTGAGTGCTTGGTGCTGTAAAGAAATACACAGCATGTTCCTCCTGTGGTCATTGTGGTCTCTTGCATATGCCAGACTTGTACAGTATTTCCCACTGGCTGAGCAAATCAGGAGGTGTAAGTGATTGTTTATCCCTTTCTTGTTCCAGCTGCCTCAACAGTTCCACAGATTCCCTACCTGTGTGCATCTGCTCTGCTGGATACACAGGGAACGGGACCCATTGCACTGGTATGTCCAGCAAAGACAAAGTGAAATAAATGGCATGATGTTTCCTGAAGAAAGATCATTGAAATCCTTTTCCTCTCAGCCATCCACCACGAACTCTGCCATGCTTTGGTAGAGAAGTTTTCCAGTTCAGAGCTTTACACAGGATGCTCTTGATGTTTCTAGAGCCTGCAAGAGAGGGATAAAATGTCAGGCAAGTGTAGAAGGGCAGTTCTTACTGTTTGTGGAGGAAGACGCACATGAATGGGTTGTATTCTGATATCACAGCAATGGTGGCAAAGAGAACAATATTGGCCATGAATCACTGGAATATGGATGTTTCAATTCTCTAGAGTTTTGTGCTGCTTCTATTTGCTGGCCAAGCCAAAATTGGGTAGAAACAGTGCAGCAGTTGTGCCAAAATGAGGTAGGATTTCAGGATACTGCTATAAAGCTACATACAAACCTGGTCTATGTCAAAAGCAAACAGACCAGGAAAAAACGAGTGATAAAATTGTAACAGTGAAAACAGTGGTAGTCATCACAGTGTATGTTCAGTGTTGCCCTTGTTGGAAAGTGAGTGAGGGGAGGAAAAGGCAAAAAAACCCCAAACATTTACATTGTTCAGGATTTTTTTTTTCTTTCTCATCTAACCATGAGTCCTCAGTGAGCAAATGATGTGAGGGAAAGACTTCGTAGTCCAATTTAGGGCTACTTAAGCTCAGCTTTCTTCCTCGGACTGGCCTCTCTCAGGTCTGGATGAGGCCACATTGCCTTGCAAGGACTTACAGTTTCATTGAGAAACAAAGGGATTGTAACAAGGTGTTGTGATTTTTGTGAAGATGGATGATCATTCTGGCACAGTTGATCATCCTAAGTGCTCTGAGCTGATTCTGCTTCTCTCGTTTGTGGTCACAGAAATAGATCCATGCACTATCGATCACGGTGGCTGCTCCGTGCACGCTGTGTGTACTAAGGTGTCCCCAGGAGAGAGAACCTGTGTCTGTAAGGAAGGCTACGCCGGGGATGGGACACTCTGCTTGGGTGAGTGCTCGGTGCATGCTTTGGAGATAGCATCAGCTGTGCCAAGGGGAATTTCAGACTAAAAGCATTAGTGTTTTCATCTCAAACCAAAAGAGCCCTGAAAAGTTCCTTGCTCTGATGCATATTGTGGAGTCCCAGAGACAGAGGGTGAGGGCAATCTCCCACAGTGCTGCTCTGAGATGAAGACAGAGCTGTGGGAGAGACCGTTCCTCTCATATCCTTTCAAGCACACCCAGACAGGCAAGGAATTTTCTGTGAGCAGATTTATCACAGCTCAGAGACTCGTGTGGCAGCAGTAGAACTTGCAGTTGCGCCCCATTCCTTTGCTATCACAAGACAGTTTCCCAGGAAAGTGTTCCCCAAGCTGGAAAGGTTCTTTCTATTGCTTTCCCAATACCTCTTTGGATCACCAGTTCCCAGCTGCCTTGAGCAGCCCTCAGCAGTAATGTGGCCTTACTGTTTTACTGCAGAAATCGATCTCTGTCTCGAAAACAACGGTGGCTGCCACACCAACGCAGAGTGCATCAAAACAGGCCCGAAGAAGGTATGTAGGATGGATGTCAGGGCAACATTATTATGGAATATGTCACAGTGTGTAATTCTCTAAGAGACAGTCCTTTCCATCACAGTGCCCTGCTTTGTGCTTACTGCCTTCCACATAGAGAAGTTGCCTGGGAAGGGCATGAAAAGATTGCTGTTTCCTCGAAGGCAGATGGCTGTGTTGGCCAGAGGCTGGAGACAGTCTCGGGTTATAAGTGTTGTGGACACAAGCATGGTTTTTCATGAGTGTGGCAATGGATGCTATACCACATGCTTTCCATCCAGTGCAGCAAGTTCATGTTATCTTTACTGGGTCCAAGTTTCAGACTGTGGATCTCTTCTCCCTCCAGGTTGCCTGCAACTGTCTTCCTGGTTACAGTGGGGATGGTGTGAGCCAGTGCAACCCCATCAACTTGTGTGAACAGGTATGTCTATGTTTTGCTGCTACCAGAGGTGAAGGCCACAGCCTTGAAGTGTTCCTTTCTCCCAGCAGTTAACAGCAAGAACAGCATTAGCTGACTTATTTGGAGCTGAGCTTTCCACATACTGAAGGGATTTCCTTGTGTGTTTGGTTTCCACTGCCTCTCACAATGAGCTGCATGTGAGATGCCTGGCACTCCCTCAGTGTGCAAACAGTGACACAGGATTGGAGGCATGAGGGCTTTTTCTGTGTGTCCATTTTGTGCACGATGTGCTCAAGAACTTTAGAGTATTCTGTGCTCACGACATTGCTGCCATGCCAAAATATCTCCCTGAATCATGGGGTAGGTCATCACTTGGTTCCAAAGTGAGGTGTGAAAGTCTTGTCTTGTTGGAGGATTTGGTGCTGGAAAGCCCTTGAGGATATGGGTGAGGTTTATTCCCAGGCACTAAACAGGGTGGGGGGATTTCCTTGCCCCTGGGCTGGATATAGTTAGCAGCTCCCACATACTAGTGGCTACTCAGATTGCTGGAGATGCTCCTCCATGCAGGCCTTTTCCTTTCTTGCTAGAACAATGGAGGCTGCAGTCCCTTTGGGCTCTGCAGGTACACAGGCCCTGGCACTCGGAACTGCTCCTGCTCTTGGCACAGTATCGGAGATGGCTTCACCTGCCGTGGCAAAGTGCATCAGGTGAGAAGCATGTGAAACATCTTTTGTGCTCATGTCCCCTGCCCTGCAGCAAACCACTCTCTCCTCTCCAAGTGTGGGGTACAGGTGAGATGATCTTAGTGCCATATTGACATGTGTGTGGTGTAGGAGTGGAGACAGGTGCTGTGAGGCAAACTCTCCAAATATCATAGGTGTGTTTGGTGTGCCACCTGTGGGAGAGAATCACAGCAAAGTGACTTTGCACTGAAAGGAGCCATGCCATGAACACTCTGCTGCTCTGTCAGCAGCATTGGCCATACCTCCAGGGGGGCTTTTTTCTTCATGTTATAAGCAAATGGGAGTGACTTTGTTTTTTTCCCAAGACAACTCACTTCTGCCCAGTGGGATGAGGGCAGGTGTCCCTTGTGGCTATGCCAGGATTTGGGATCAAGTCTGGAGGGCAGCAGCCTATGTCTAGTTCTGTTGCCAGTACAGCAGCTGTCCTTGGGCAAGTGGTGACCTTCTCAGGCAGTAGCAAAAAAAAGCTGTCATCCCCACAGCAGAACCAGGAGAAAAGAGATGAACTTTTGTGTGCTTCTGCTCTTACTTAAAGTTGGTGTGGTGAGGAGAGAGAGTTTTCCCTGCCAAGATATGTCAGCATCCCAGAACTGATAGTGACAGCGCAGTGAGGTTGAAGCAGAGGTTTTGTGAAGCAGCCAAGGTGTCCCATGAGCACAGGGTCAGTTATCTATGAAACAGCTGCTGCAGAACCAGCCAGCTTTCATCTTCTGACCACTCCATCCTGCAGCACTTGTGAAGTAAACGGTGCAGGCAGAGGTCACTGTAATATCCATGTCATCTCTGCCTGCAGTGCTGGGGAGGGAGGGAGGGAAGATCATTATGGTGTGTCAGGGGAACTGGTGTCTCATTAGGGTGGGAGAGTGACCTGGAATGGAAGGCACAGGTCACTGTGCTGGCTGGAGCAAGTGGAAGGGACCCACCAGCTGTTTCTCTTTGTTTAAGGAGCTCGGAAGGATTCAGCATGCATCCATATTCTTTAAGATGATACAGGTTGGTGACAAACAGCTTTGTTCTTGTCTCTGTGTAGTAGTCCCACTTAGGGTCTCCTGTAAAGGGTCTTGCTAACTGGAACTGTGTTTCCCTTCCCACAAATGTTCTTCTACCACAGGCAGAAAGCATCAAAGAACTCAGTGGGGCAGGGCCTTTCACTGTCTTCGTCCCACAGGCAGATTTCATAGGAAACACCACAACGGTAAGTGTCCTCCCATCCCAAGCTCTGCCCTGTGCCTGACAGCTCCAGCTGTGGCAATGTGCCCTCTGGGACTGCTCTGCCCACTGAATTGAAGCAAAGGGGCTGCACTGCAGAGGGTTGAAGGCATCCTCTGTTCTCTATCAGTGTAAGAGCAGAAGTTTGGAGACCATCTCACTGAGGAGACAGCCTGGGCAGGGGTGAACATGGCTCTTGTTGTAAGGAGGTCCTTACTGGAGACCCTGTCTCATGGGCCTCAGAGGCACTGTGTCAGATCAGTGATGCCTTCCATTGCCCATGGAAGCCCATGAGGCTGGTAACAGCAAGGCTTCCAGGCAACTGTGACAAAGACCTCTTATCCCTCCTCTGTGCCCCAGACCCTGCCATTCCAGTTGCCTTCCTTCTAGTGCCAACAGGTGGTATGTTTGGGGCAAGTGAAGAATTGCAGAAGGAGAGATCCCTACTCATGACTCTGTGAACTGGGTCCTTAACCAACAGCTTTTTGATGTCAGTGTAATGGAATATCTTAATCTCATCACTGACAAATCCTGCCATGCAACTTCACACCACTAGTCCTAACCTACACCCATACACCCAATAAAGGAACAATTCTCAAAGGCCACATATCCCAGATGCCACTTCCTCAAGGACAATGTGGTCATTTGTCCTCCATCAAAGGACTTCGATGCTGGGTTTGTCAAACTGGTTGAAATTCCCTGAAGTTCTCAAATAGTTTTGTGCATTTACCATGTTTTGGGGGGAACTGGCTTTCCTGGAGGACACCATTCACACACTCCCAGGGAATTGTTCCCTGCACCCTCTATAGGCTGCAGATCCCTGCCTGGGATTTTGCCCACCCTTCTCCAAGGAACCACATTCATGGATGCTAGATGTCTGTGCTGAACCAGTAATACAACCTTCCTGTAGGAGAATGGGCTGGGGCAGGAAAGGGTTGTGCAGCTCCTTACCCAGAAGGGGCTTGGGGAATCCAGGTCTCCCTCATCAGGGCTGGGGGCCCTGCATGCAAGCAAAGTGTCCCAGTGTGACCTCATTTTTGCTTTCTGTCTGTAGTTTGAGGAGTGGAAGAGCAGAGGTCTTCTCCGGGACCTGCTTCGCTACCACATGGTGGGCTGCCAGAAATTGCTCTCCAGTGACCTGGAAGACCAGCAGTCCCTTACATCTTTATCTGGCCACAAAATAAATATCACAGTGAATGAGGTAATTCCCTTCCCTGTCCCACTTGTCAGCATGTCACTTCTGCAGTCATTTGAAGACCACTATGGTTGTGGCAAGTGACTTGCCTAGGGCCCACAGACAGCTCACAGGGCAGTGCCAGGGTGTGAATGCCTCATCATGTTCCCTCTCTCGCAGAATAGCATCTATCTCAATGAGGAGGCCAAAGTGGTCATGAGTGACATCATTGGCGTGAATGGGGTCATTCATTTCATCAACCAGATCCTCATTCCAAGTGACCTGGTGGACCGTAACATTTCCTCAAAGCTCTCACAGGTAAGGCTGAAGCTGTGACACTGCCCTGCTCTGGTGAGGTCAGGGCCAGCATCTCTCCTCCACCAGCACTGACAGTGCTGTCCCTAAGCCTAATCCCGAGGCTGCATGGCCTGCTCTTCCTCTCTGACAGCATAGGGGTTGTCTGAGGGCACAGATTTGGCTTGTGAAGGTGACAGCATTTGTGGCATAGCCATATTTGGGACAGAATGAACCTTATCACTAGGGAATCACAGTGCTGGATATAGGCAGTGGGATCATGTCCTGTGCTAGGACATCACACTCCTTTTCCAGCACTGAGCAGATTGCAGCATGATTGACAGTGCCTTTCTGGTACTCTTCAAGCAAGCACCTGGAGCTTATAGATCCTGCATTTTACAGAAGATAACACATATTCTGTGCAGCATAGCAGAGTGCTGGAATTCATCCCAGTTCCTGCCATAGCAGTGTCTGCCCAGGATGAATTAGAAAAGCGGTGGCTGCCGAATGCCAGCCCTTTCCAGGCCAAACCATCAGCATGATGGTGACAGAGAAAAACTTGTGTTTAGCTGCTGTAGTTGTTCACTGTCTGGTTTCTCCCCTGCATTGCTCGTCCTGCAGCAGGGAAGCCTTAGTGACAGTTGTTTGCTTTCCTTCCTCTGCAGCAGAACATTGTAGAAGTGGCAGAGGCCTTTGGGTACACCATTTACAGCAAGCTGCTGAAGGTGAGTGGCCTGACCCTGCTTCTCTGTGAGGAGGTGCTGTGTGCACATGCATGTTCAGTTTTGGCTTGTGGCTCTTTCCTTTGTATCCCTTCTTATCTTGGACAGGATTCAGAGCTGCTGCCACTGGTTAATAACCTCAGGCATGGACCCTTCACCATGCTGTGGCCCACAGATGCTGCATTTGATGCTGTCCCAGAGAACAGGCAGAAGTGGCTGTACCGCAGAGAGCATCGGGACACACTGGCCTCCTACCTCAAAGCACACATGATCTGGAATGCAAAGGTACATGTGACAGCACACAGGCTTGTACCTCCTGAAGGCCACGTGTTGCCACCACCTGCCTATGGTTATGTCAGAGAAACCTTGCCAAATATTCTACTACTGTGCAACGTGCAGCATATCAGTTGTCTTGAGAAGACAACACTCTTTGAACATTTGAGGCAATTACAGCTTCCTCCTGAACCTGCGGTGGCTGAGCTGAAACCTTCTGTCTTCAGCTTCTTGGGCAGGCCACATCACTGCTAGAGTGTCAACACAAGGCTCACAAACAGGCTCTTGTCTGCATGGGTGATGAACAACGGAAGAGTTCAGCTGAGCAAAACCAGGGCCTGCCTACACACACTGGTCTCTTGCTGCCCTGGAACCAGGGACTGACCCAGCATAGTTATGCTGTGCACTCAGACCAACTTCATGTACTGCCACCTCACACTCCTCTGAGTGTGACTGCTCACCCCTGTCCTCACCAGCCAGCATCCCATTAGCACGGATTCCCAGTTTTGCCTGTCTCTCCCTTCACATTCTTTTTCCTTCTTAGATTGTTGCTGGTAATGTGCCCCAAGTTGAAAAATTACGGACCATGCACGGCTCCACTGTCTCATTCAGCTGCAGCAAAACCCATGTGGTGAGTGTTGGCAATGCCAAGCTTGGTTTCCCAAGGAGCAAGTGTCCCTGGGCATGGCCACAGGACAACTGGTGCTCTGTATTGGGCACCAGCAGGAAGTGAACACAGCTTGCAGGCTGGGACACCCTATTCCCCTGGCTACAGCTGAGCTGTAGAGAGGCTGGAGATGTTGTGGCCAGAAGTGCAGAGGTGGTGTGGTACCTGCACACACACATCACGATGACCTGGCTGCAAAGTCAACCTCACAGTGCTGCGACCTTTACAGAGCACATGCTCCACAGACAGAGGCCATCCTTAGGAGAGGTGGCCATGAACAGTGTTAATTGGGAAGGATGGTCAAGGACATGAGTACAGAGATTCTGGAGAGTTCTTAGGGTGATTAAGAAATCATGGCAGCCAAAACCAGGCAACTTTGGGATGGTGCAACCAGGATGTAGGAACATGCCAGAATCACAACTTGCTTTCTTCCTCTGTTAGGGGGAGATACTGGTGGGGAACGGCGAGGCCACCATCATCCAGAGGCACATGGAATTCAATGGGGGCATTGCTTATGGCATCGATAGGCTGTTGGAGCCACCGGATTTGGGATTTCGGTGTGACGAGTTCAGCTTTGTTGAGCTACAGGTAAGCATTTGCAATGAGGTCAATGAGGATCTGTGCCACCCATGCAGCCCCATGCCTGGGAACAGGGAAGTTGGGAGGGCTTGCTGCTCTTCCTTGGCAAAGCTCTGAGCAGCTGAGAGGCAGCAGCACATATTCAGTTGTTGTGAGGTTTCTTTCTCCCCTCCACAGGCATCTAGAGAGAGCTGTGGACTCTGTGGCTTCGAGCCACGCTGCCCTGCTGGCTTCGTTCAACGGGTAATGTGCACAGCTGTGTCACCAAGAAGGCCTGTTAGGGGACCGATGACAACACGCACGGGGCCCTCATGTCTTAGCAGAAAAAGGAAGGCCCAACTGCATGTGGCGAGTCCTTCAGCTTGGTTGCATAGTCCTTGCCTTGCCTCAGGGCATGCAGTCTGTAGGTCAGGAGCTGGGCTGAGCAACAGAGGGTCAGGGACTCCAGTGGTCTTTGCTTGGCCAGTCCCTATGTTGGTGACAGGGGCTGCAGGAGTTCCTCCAGCAGCACTGGGGGCAGCTCTGGGTGCTTTGTAGCAAAAGAGCAAAAGCCTGGTCACTGGGGGTGGATAAGGGATCCCATGGTGAGCAGCCTTGGGAGGCAGTGGTTGTGCCCTACTCTCATCATGGGCTTCTGGCATGTCCCTTAGGTACGTCTGTGGCTCCTCTGACACCGGCCCCAAAACATGTTAGGAAACCTCTGTTATTTGTCATAAAACTGAATGAATAGCACAAGAAAAGTCAAGGTGAGCTGTCAGTGACCACTGTGGCAAACTGTCTTTTGCCTGTTTCCTCGCAGGGGGAAACCAGGAGCTGCTACTATTATGAAAACCATCTGCTGAGAAACACTTTTCTGCCTCACCGCAACCCCTTGGTGCCACGGTCGTGGTACTCCCCGTGGGAGCCCTTCAGAAGACACTTCTCTTCCAGGGGGCCTCTGAGAAGAGGCTGCAGGAGGATCTGTGTTTCCAGCCAGTGGGTCCCACAGTGCTGTGCCAACCGCTATGGCCGTGACTGTCAGGGTAAGGAGCTGTGCCACCCTTTCCTGCTCCAGCCCGTTCTCCTACGGGAAGGTGGCATTACTGGTTCAGCTCAGGCATCCATGAATGTGGTTCCTTGGAGAAGGGTGGGCAAAATCCCAGGCAGGGAGCTGCAGCCTATAGAGGGTGCAGGGAACAATCCCCTGGGAGGGGGTGAATGGTGTCATGACTGGGAATTCCTTTTGCTTGAAGAACCTCTTGTCCCCATGGAGAGCCCTGGGCACAGGGCTGCCAGGGGTGGCTGTCAGATGTGTCACTTGCCCCTAGATGTTGCCAGTGCGCAACCATTCCCTGACATCTGCACTCTGTGCATGGGCAGCTTCCATGTCCTTGGATGAGTCTGATGCCAAGTTACTGTGGGGCAGTACAGATGCAGCACATTGCAGGAGAGGGTCTTCTCAGTCTGGAAGTTCTGCCAAACTTGTCCTTCTTGCCTCCATTCCCAAGTTTACAGTCATGGGATGTCCCCAACACTCCCTGCCCAGACTGCCAAGGAGGCTCTGTGGTCAGAGCACCCCGTGAGCACCAGCTCGGGTGGCACTTGGTGTGCACGCTCTGCGGGGGCAGTGGGTGGCTCCCCTCCAGCACAGGGTCACTTTGTCACCATAGCCTCACTAAGGTGCCCCATTTGCAGCATGCCCAGGGGGGCTGGAGGCGCCGTGCAGTAACCGTGGTACCTGCGATGACAGAATCGGTGGCTCAGGGAGGTGCAACTGCAGCCAGGCCTTCCTCGGGACCAGCTGCGAGCTGTGCGCGCCGGACAGATACGGACCCGAGTGCCGAGGTACCCGGGGCTGGGGCAGCAGTGCACAGGGCTGTGCAGAGTTGGCTGTGGCACCCGGTGCAGCTTGGAGAGGGGGTAGGTGCCGGGCTGACCCCTTTGCAGCCTGCAGCATGAGAATCAGTGCTGCCATGGTCCCCACAGTGCTCAGGTGAGACCTCTGGGGCTGCAGACATCCCTCCCCGGGCTCTTGGCTGGACAGACATTAATCCAGCTGTAGTTGGATGAGGCTGGGTGGCACGTGCTGGGAGCTGTGACAAGGCCATGGGGTGAAAGATCCCTTCTTGTTTGTCAAGCACAGCTGAGAGCCTTGGTCTGGCAGAAAGCATTAAGATGTGTTTTGAGCTGGAGGACATGTGAGTTGTGACAGACTGTGTACAGAATGAGCATCTCCTGGGCCATGCTCAGCAGGGACCTAGGCCCATGTGAGACAAAAGCAGAGTCCTCCATCCTCTCATCCCCAGCTGGGCCATATGGGGTCTCCAAGAATGTTTTTGATGGCTGAATGTTTGCAGGGACTCAGAGCGAGAACCACATTTCCAGAAGTGCCACAGGGAAAGGACTGTTGGGGATTTGTGGGTGCAGAGGGATTTCCTCTCCTCCATGAAGGGTGGGGGTTACAGAGAGCTGCCATGCCCAGCTTCATGCACTGCCCACACAAATCACATTTCTGCCATGTGGCTGTCCCAAGGGCCTGAGCATGGCCTTTCCCTGTCACCAAGGCAGATGCCATGACAGCGTGTTTATCCATTCTTCACAGAGTGTAATTGTACCGAGAACGGTGTGTGCAATGCAGGGCTGCACGGCGACGGCTTCTGCTTCTGTGCTGAGGGCTGGACTGGAGATCGCTGCGAAATCCGACTAGGTGAGGGATGCCAAGCCCCACCACCCACTATTCTCTGGGACCTGCTGCTGTTATTCTGCTTTCCCAGCAGCTGGATTAATCAAGCAGCCAGCCAGAAATACCTCCAAAAAGGAGCTCTCAGTTGTGTGGCTCATCCTGTGATCTCACCTGTGCTGTTGAATTTCACAAGGGCTGGGGTGGTGAGGAGGAGGAAAGCAAGCTCCACTGGATCATGAACAAGTCCCTGAGGTCAGATGCTCCAAGAAGAGCTTGGGGCTGAGATGATGGCCTGAGGTGTATCTGAAGGAGTAACAATCCTCTGTGTTTGGGCAAGGCATCTGTGAAGAGCACAGGGGGAGGGAGAGAGGGGAGAGTGGGGCAGGTGTCCTGGGGCAGAGGCTGGTGATGGCAGCCATGCCTGTGTCACAGCCCTTAGACCATTCTGACCTGTGTGTGTTCTGGTTCCAGTGCTGACACCCACCTGCTCTCCACCGTGCCACCCCCAGGCCGTCTGCCGCGCCAACAACCTCTGCGAATGCAACCTGCACTACGAAGGGGATGGGAGAACGTGCTCAGGTACAGGAGAGCCACGAGAAGGGCTGGGCTGGAGGGCTGGTGAGCAAAGGGGAAAGCAGACAACATGGCAAGGCCACGGGTGACCATCTCCCAGTGGCCACGTTAGTGCGGCAACTGGCAGGACAGCCAGACTGACCCCCAGGACACCTCGTGGGGTTAACCCACCACTTTTACCCCCGCAGTGATTGACATGTGTGGGCAGGACAACGGGGGCTGTGCCAGGCACGCGCACTGCACGCAGGTGGGCGTCAATGTCTCCTGTGCCTGCGCTCCCGGGTACACGGGCGACGGCTACGTCTGCGACCCCATAGACAGGTGTGCAGATGGCAGGAATGGGGACTGCAGCCAGCACGCCAACTGCATCAGCACCGGCCCGGTGAGTATGTGCCCTGGCTCTGGGGAGAGCCACGTGCCTGGGAGAGCAGTGCAGGTGGCTGCCCTGGGATGCTTCAGGCTGCTGGAGGACACCAACGTGACAGTGTCCCCCTCTACTACAGTCTGTGGCTCCCTCAGCTGCTGCACTCATCCTGCAGGTCCTTACCACCATGCAGGAGCTGTGTCTCCATCTGCTGCCTGGCTGCAGTGGTGGTCCTGGGGATGTTATGATGAGGCCATTTTCCCCCATTCCTCTGTCTGA